AACCACTGCGCCAACTCTCCAGCCCTCCTTTGTTTTTAACCTTGCACCAATTCTATCATTCTTCATTCACATAAAAAGAATTAATACGTGCTGGGAAATTACACAGCAAGTCACTCCCCTTGCCCTGTCAGGTTCTTCTTTATAATGGAGACCTCTATAACTCATAACCTTAAAATTCAGTCTATGATTTAGCTATTGCCTGGCACAGACATATCAGATGAGAATGGAAAAAGTAATAAGGCCAGCACAGCTGTGTGACAAAGATTCTGCAAAACTGAGCCACATGATGGCCACAGGGCCACCTTTCGTTTTTATCTCCACTGTTACATATTTGGGTGAATTTTAATATTTGTATGATTTGGGGAATAGGGATTGATGGAAAATTTCTTATGAACCATGTATGCCTTTCCCCAGGAGTACTGCTTCTAAGCTTCCCCAGGAAAGTCCTGAACATACTACACCTCCCACTTTTAGGGAGATAGCTTATCTACTTAGGTCTTCCTAACACCTTGGAGGTCATAAAGAAGCCAGAGGTCTCTTTATGAGGCTATGAAACATTCTTGAAACATCTGTCCCTGTACTTAAACAGGAATAAGATATTTAAAACAAAGTAAACTTAAAATGGTCAACAAGATTCAGTAGGTTAGAGGAGTTGGCCACAGATCAGATGGCAAGCCTCTTCCCACTACACACCAAGACAATTACATGGCATACACAGCAACAGAGTTAGAGTAGCTGAACTTACCTTTGTCCTAAACAAGTTTAAAAAGTTTTGGATGACAATGAGTATAAATAGAAAGATTTATCACAGATATAATGCAACATACCCTAAAGGAAAAAGGGATTGAGAGTTTTTTCATTGCCCCAGAAAGTCCTGCTATTTTAACCTGAGAATAAGACTTTTTTTTTTTTTTTGTCTCTGAACATGCTGCCTCAAAGAAAGGCCATAGTTGCTTCCATGTAGAACCAGAAGTTCATTTTAGCTAGCCCTGCCTGCTGTCTATCTCAGGGCTGTGACATCACTGTAGAGAATTCTGTGTTTTAAGTTTTATCTTATTTAATGTATTTAATGTATATGGGTGTTTTATCTTATTTAATGTATATGGGTGTTTGCCTCCAGGCATCTGTACCATACCTGCAAAGGCCAGAATAGGGTAGCAGATACCTTGGAACTGGAGTTAAAGAGATAAGATATCATGACTTCTGGGAATGGAACCTGTGCCCTCTGTAACAACACCCAGGGCTCTTAACTGCTAAGTGGTATAAGAGTTCTTTCTGTTTGTGTGTTGCTTTCATTGGTTAATGAATAAAGAAACTGCCTTGGCCTAGTTGATAGGGCAGAACTTAGGTAGGTGGAGAAGAAAGAACTGACTGCTGGGAGGAGGAAAGGCAGAGTAGGAGAGAGACACCATGGATCTTCCACCTGAGACAGAAGCCGGTTAGAATATTTGCCGGTAAGCTACTGCCATGTGGCAATATACAGATTAATAGAAATGTGTTAAATTAAAATAAGTAACAGTTAGCTAATAAGAAGTTAGAGCTAATGAACCAAGCAGTGATTTAATGAATACAGTTTCTGTGTGGTTATTTTGGGACTAACATAGCTGGATGGCTGGGACAAACAAGCAGGCAACAACCCTTGCAACAACTGGTGCCAACGTGATGGACGAAACTCACTTAAAATCTGAGAGACCTTAATTTTAAACACACACACACACACACACACACACACACACACACACACACAAAACCCCAGAGTTTAACACAGCATTTTCCTGTTTGCCGGCAGCATGCTACAGTTCCTTTAGAAGAGATTTTCCTGACTCAGCAGCAGCAGCAGAAAAAAAAGCCGTGCTATTTTAAAATGCTGGCTTTCTGGGCCACTGCTGGTGGGAACTCTTTCAGGCAGGAGGTCCAGCTACTGAGCATTTGAGCTTAGTTTGTGTGCAGCATGCTGCTTGCTTGATGGCAAGTGGACTCCCTGTATGCCTGGAAGTGGGGCCGTGCATGCGGCTCAGAGGCACAAACGGCTCTGCCATGCTGGACTGTGCAGAGCGAGTAGGAACTACTGTATTTATCGTAATAATAGCATAGCTTAAGTTTTAGACTGGGAAGGAAAAGAGGTAGTACTGTACTACCTTTACTAATGGCGCAACTTAAGTTTTTAAGAAGCACATAGCATTTTAAGAAGTGCTCCTGGACAGTAAAGAATGAGACTCACAATAGGACAGATTCAGACATAAAAGACCTCTAAATGGGTCACTGTTGGATATATGTACATAGGCTTGGGAGAAAGAAGAAAGAGTAAAGGGTAAAGTCTTTAAAGAGACACAGTACAGATAGTCATAGATTAAAAGAGTAAAGAAAAATAAGCCACATAAAAATGAAAAATTCGCCAGGTGGTGGTGGTGCACGCCTTTAATACCAGCATTTGGGAGGCAGAGGCAGGCAGATCTTTGTGAGTTCAAGGCCAGCCTGGTCTAAAAGAGCTATTTCTAGGATAAGCTTCAAAGCCACAGAGAAACCCTGTCTTGAAAAACCAAAAAAAAAAAAAAAAAAAAAAAAGGAAAATTCACAGAGAGTCTGGATTCTGTATATTATTGTGTTTTCTTTGAATTTTTTGACTGTGAGGAGCTAAGTACAGAGAGATATTTCATTGTATGGGCTGATAAGCTAAACCAGCATGTATATTATAAAGGTATCTTGACTTCAGAATTTGGGTCTAAGAACAAATTGCTTGGGAAAAGAGGTTCTTCTTTTGTTTTCACAGAAGATGAGAACCTAGGGATTGCCTCCAGACGAATATGGTTTCATGGACCAAGATCTCCTGAAAGGTTGCCATAAATACCCTCAAAAAATTTCTTCACCAAACTGCTAACTGAGATGAACCTAGCACACAGGATACACCATGAAACACCTGATTGATTAATAGTGCCCCCAATCAGCAGGAAGCAGTATGGACAAAACTATACCCATATTCCCAAATATTGTTTATAAATATTCTTTCACATTTAAAGGGGAATATGATATAGATATGAAAAATTAGTATGGATCTTGGTTTACTGATACAAATTCAAGGTCAATTTTGTTATATTATATGTAATTCTGCTCTTGATTAAGGTATTGTGTTTGTATAGTTCATTTAAAAATGTAATATATAATTAAGAAATATATGTTAATAGATAATCATCTATAATAGTCAAGTTTGTAGTCATGTTAGGTTTTCTAGATACATAGAGAAATATTTCAGTTAGATAGATTCTTCAAATCTTTCAGAGACCTTCAGAATATGGCATTTAAAATGTTTAAGAATTTAGGACTTTTCATGACAATGAGACACATCTTCTCCTGACAGTACCAATCTACTTAAGAGGAAGATAGGCATTGAAGTGGCTCCTTAGACATTTGGGCAAGAAACTGCTCTTGCCTGGACTGCTTCATTGGACATTCAGTGCCCACAGAGAGATGACTGCTGAACTTGCCTAAAGGTGAGATGGTCCTTTGGGGTTCCTGCTTTATGAGAATCTGCCATATATTCTGCAGGATACAGAAGAAAGTGACTGAAAACTGCCAATATAGGCAGAACTGTCTTTGAAATTTCCTGCTTCATGGAAAAGTCTGCTGGATACTATGGGCCTGTAGGCTGAAGATGGATGCCCCAATGCTACAGAAAAACTTTGGGTGAGTGTCCAGGCAGTGAGATGTCTCTGCCATTTCTAGAGTTTTGGAAGTTGTTTACAATGCACTTCCTGTTTACTTAGGTAATATCAAATCCTTCTGAGGTCTTTGATGGAGTTGAATGAATTTATAGCTATATTTTTTTAGTTATGATAAAAGATAAAATAGATATAAATATTGTAACTGTAGTTTTTTGCTTGATACCTGTTTTGTTATATGTAATTTTACTATGTTAAAGTTAAAGCCTTCCTTTTTGTTTAAACAGAAAAGGGGAAATGGTGTAGGAGGTCCTTCTGTTTGTATGTTGCTTTCATTGCTTAATAAATAAACTGCCTTAGCCTAGTTGAAAGGGCAGAACTTAGGTAGGCAGGAAAGACAGAACTGAATGTTGGGAGGAAAAGAGGTAGATTAGGAGATAGACACCATGGATCTTCTGAGACAGATGCCAGTTATAATCTTTACCAGCAAGCTACTCTATGTGGCAATATACAGATTAATAGACATGTGTTAAATTAATATGTAACAGTTAGCCAATAAGAAGTTAGAGCGAATGGGCCAAGCAGTGATTTAATGAATATAATTTCTGTGTGGTTATTTTGGGGCTAAGATAGCTGGGCAACCAGGACAAACTGGCCCTCACTCTTGCAACAGCTAAGCTAACTCTCTAGGCAGCTACTTCATTTAAAATTTATTTTCACACATTCAAATTTATTTAAAATGTATTTTCATACATTTAAATTAAAATGTAGTACATCAGTTTCCCCCTTCCTTGTCTTTTCACCATCCCCTCCCAAATTTTTCCCTTCCAGTTCCTTCCTTGTTAAGCATGTGCGAATATGTATGTACAAATATATAAATAAAAGCTTTTGAGTCCATTTCTGTTGGTTGTGTGTATATGGTTTCAGGGCTAAACACATTGTATTGAGTATGTAATTAGGGAGCTCATCCCTGCCTGAAGCTAATTCTCCCAACTGCAGGAGAATTCCACTCTTTAATGAAGAACAAGAGTCTGACCCTAAGACTCTTAGACAGGAAATATTATCAAGAACAGAAAATATGCTAATAATTGCTGGTGCCATGGCCCTAAAGTTCTGGAGCTATGTGGACATTGTCCTGAGCCAATCAATCTTCCTTGTTTCTGTGATCATTCCATCACACCCATTGACCATTCTCATCCGGGATGACTTTGAAACCTTGAAATCCCTATCTCCACTTTGTAAGTACCATGGCCTTCATCACCATGCCTGGCTTAGGCAGTTTCAACATCATTTAGTGGGGCATGAAAATGATGGAATGAGTAACATGAGCAAAAATCTACTTACCTGTATGAGTCTGGGTTTCACCATCTGCAGAATAAGCACAGAAATCTTATCAGGTCCTTTGATGAGTTATAACAGACTCAATCATTAAGGAAAATAATATTTCTCACAGTTGGAAGCCAGTGGACTTTAAGGCTGGAAGGCTGCATTTGATAAGAACCTTCTTCTGCTACTGGAGTTAGGACCACAGCCTGTGTGCTATCTACCCTAACCAGACAGGCTCAGCCACTCATCTTCAATTAAATGAACCAAGTTATCCAGTGAGTACATGCCCACCTATAATGCAGATACTCTGGAAGCAGTGGACAGATCTCTCTGATCTCCTAGGACAGCGTGGTCTATAATGTGAGTTCTAGGTCAGACAGGAAGTCACAGTAATACTATTCTTAAAAGAAGAAAATAGAGAAAGCGAATATGAAAGGGACAAAAGCAAAATAAATAAAATTTAAAACATGGTATTTATTTAAGTTGACAAATTTGGAACAATAAAGTGAAATAGGGATAGGTGATGAACAAAAGCCATGGAGGAAATATAAGGACCACAAAATAACTTCAGCAAATGGATTTGCCACACATATAGCACACTTTAATATCTATCTGCAAGATAGAAGCCATAATGTGATCTTCACATCATCTTTAGTGAACTGGTTAATAATTTACTTACTTCAAGGCTATACTGAAAAATAGATAAACTTTTTTCTTCAAACTGAAGGCAGCTGTTTTTACCAAATCATTTACATGAATAGGGGTTTTCTCTTGTATGTGTTCCTCCCTATTTCCTGATATCAGAAAGCTTTAAAATATTTATAGGGCTAGAGACACAACTGAGTACTTGATACAAGTTCATTCCCAGGAACAAGGTCCATTTTTAACAACTCCAGTAATTCCTACTACAAGAAGCTCCAAGGTTCTAATTCTTGGGAACCAGAAAGCACTTACACATACCCACACAAAGACACACAGACATGATATCATTAAAATTAAAACAAATCTTTAAACTAATTTTCACTCATGAATACTTTCTTCTTAATATAGTTGTTGAGGCATCTAAAGGCATATAGAGTTTTTCTCCATCATGAATTGGTTCATGAAAAAGAAAGCAAGCACATAGACTTGAGGTGAGAGAAATCAATCAGTCTCAGTCTGCAGTATCATTTGGGAAGATTTAGGAAATGCTGTCCCCGTGGAAAAAATATGTCCCTGCAGGTTGGCCTGAGAATTAATACCTGCACACCATTTCCAGTTTACACTTTCTGCTTTGTGCCGTAGGTTAAGGATGGGAATTCTTAGCTTCCGACATTAGCTGCCATGTATAACACTTCTTTCCAAGTCATTTTCATGGCAATCCTGTATTGCTCTGGAACCAATGGCCAAATCAAACCCTTTTGTAAGTTCACTTAGACATGGTATTTTATCACATCAACAGAAAAGGAATGAATACACATCTATGAAGTTTTCACCCGGATATACCATCTCATGTAAATGAGCAGAAGTATGAAATCTAAAAGGGTTAGCTTATCATCTCAATTCATCTGCCTTTTGTCCATGTTTGTTTACAACTGTAAATAGAATCAAGAGGGGCATCATAATGCTTGAACAGACTTGATGCTTGCCTGTTTTTTTTTTTCTCTCCAGAATAAATAATCTTCTGTAACTGAACATAAGTATGTTGGCTGAAGATCTTACTAAATGATTTATATTCAGATACTCTTTGCTATTAATTTTTTCAAATTCTCAAAGTTTACTGTTATATTCAAAGGCTTTCATATACCTATTACACACTAAGACTTTACTCGTATAAAGACTACCATAATTTGCAAAACTTTGTTACACCGACTACATTTAGAGAGCTTCTTTACAGTATGATTTTTGCTTATGTTTTCGAAGACTACCGAAATATACAAAGACTTTACCACATTGATTACATTCATAGGGTTTTTCTCCAGTATGTGTTCTTTGATGCACTTGGAGATTATAGTGACATGCAAAGGCTTTACCACATTGATTACATTCATAGGGTTTCTCTCCAGTATGTGTTCTTTGATGTACTTGGAGATTCTTATGATATCCAAAGGCTTTACCACATTGATTACACTCAAAGGGTTTCTCTCCAGTATGTGTTCTTTTATGGTTTTGGAGATGACTGTGATGTGCAAAGGCTTTACCACATTGATTGCATTCATAGGGTTTCTCTCCAGTATGTGTTCTTTTATGCATTTGGAGATGACTGTGTTGTGCAAAGGCTTTACCACATTGATTACACTCATAGGGTTTCTCTCCAGTATGTGTTCTTTTATGCATTTGGAGATGACTGATTTGTGCAAAGGCTTTACCACATTGATTACATTCATAGGGTTTCTCTCCAGTATGTGTTCTTTTATGCATTTGGAGATGACTGTGACGTGAAAAGGCTTTACCACATTGATTACACTCATAGGGTTTCTCTCCAGGATGTGTTCTTTTATGTACTTGAAGATTATTGTGACATGCAAAGGCTTTACCACATTGATTATATTCATAGGTTTTCTCTCCGCTATGTGTTCTTTTATATGTTTGGAGAAGACTGTGATGTGCAAAGGTTTTACCACCGTGATTGCATTCAGAAGGTTTCTCTCCAATATGACTTCTTTCATGCCTGCAAGGATAATGGGTACATGTAAAAGTTTTACGACTTGCACTGTCGTAAAGTATCTTTATATCTGTATCAGTTAATTTTACATTCGGTCTAATTTTAAAGAGTAATCTGGTCATAAGCTTTTATGACTTTGTTTACACTTATGTTGTTCCCCTTCAGTAAGGAATGTTTTATATATTTGAAGATGCCAGTGATGGTAAGAGCCTTTACTACCTGGCTCCCATTTATGGTATCTTTTATCTCTATGAGATTTTTCACATATTTGAAGAGAACTGGGAGAATTCACACCTTAAAACCACTTACTTCATTTGATAAATTTTCCTATATTGTGAGTCACACTACATTTTCAAAGTGAACCAGAACAAACAGAAGTATTTACATATTTTTAGCACTCATAGGGATTTTCTTCAGTATGGATTGGTTGATGTATCCCCCCAATAAAGCAGGAAAATTAATTACTTGTAAACTTGAATCACATTCAACAAGTTTACTCAGCATGGGGACCTATATATATTCTAATTATTCTGAGACAGAGAGAGGTACATGGCTTCTATTCATATCCTATGCTCATATGGCTTATATCCATAGTAACATATACTATACCTATTAATGGAAGAATAACAAAAAGATTCTACATTGAATTTACAGTTGGACTTTCTCTTCCTCATAAACATATGGTACATGGATTATGGTTTCTCTACAACTCCCCTCAACCCCCCCCCCCTTAAATAATGATGCTAACTACCTGTCTCACTAAACTTAGCAAAGTAGAAACAACTATATGAGTAACAATAGCTTTACTATGGACTACTTGCTTATTAGAAGCTTTTGAACTTATGCTTATCACTTATCCAACATGTATACATATTATAAGTGATACGAAACTAAATGGATTGGCATAGCTCTGATTGAGATATGAATAAAGTGGTGATATCTGTAAAAGCATTGATTTCTTGTCTTCCTTCTTAAAACAATGACTTGCAAACACAATTCACTTACCTGCCCTTGAAGAACATGGCTTTGCGAGAATTTAATGATTATCAATGAACTTTAAGCTGTGATTATTTATGTTGCTGCTTTTCTTTAAAACTTCCAGATACAATAAAATATCTTCGCAGGCACATTTGTATCAGCTTGTACATGAAAATTACCTTTCATATCTCCGAGAACTGTGATAATGTCCTTCAATATTATGACTTTCCCATTTGTAGCCTAAAAATATAGTACCAGGAAATGTATGATATATTATTGGAAATTGTGTAAAATTTAAGTTACAATCTTTAGTATTCCTTAGAACCATGCTTTATTCGTTCACCTCATTCTTCTTCATTTCAATTAAAATTACAGAAGAGCATTGATAACCAAGGAACAGTTGTCCCCTTATTTTAAAACGTGAAAGAAAATTCACAGTATTACCTATAGCAGTGAGGTTCATGTAGGTCTCCAGCATCACATCTTTGTAGAGATTCTTCTGGGAAGGATCCAGCAAAGCCCACTCTTTCCCAGTGAAGTCAACATGCACATCATCATAAGTCACTGTATCCTAAAATATGCCATACATGTATACAACAAAAACCATGATATTGACAATATAGCCATATAATTCTGGTGTTTCCAACACTTACTCTTTGAACAGACATTATAATATAATCATCAAGTCACTTTAGAAGGAAAATGGATAGGTTTACCCTTATCATTACTTAATGCTTAGAATGGGATATCACCTTGCAAAAGACATGCCTATCAACAGACATAGAGAAACAAGCCAGCAGATCAACAGTACTGAGTATACCCCAGAGAAAGTGTATGAACAATTACTAACAAACAAAAAAAGAACAATACCATTAATCCCAGCACTCAGAAGGCAGATGCAGGTATATCTGCCTCTGAGTTGAATGGTAGCCTATGCAATCAGTTCCAGGACAGCAAGAAGTAAATATTAAGAAACAATCTCTCCTGCAAAAATAAATCAAGAAAGATAAAAAGAGCTCAGGGTTTTTACTGAAGCTCCTACACAGAGTTATGCATTCACTCCAGTTCTGTTTTTATCTTTCAGAAATCTGAAGTGTTCCAGTTCAAACTATAACTTTAGTAAATCTTACTAGTAGGGACTGCATATTTAAACAGTTACAAATTGACAGATTAAAAACATGAGTGATGTAAATGTTGATCATAAATAATCAACACAGGCCAGGAGAAACGGCTCAGCAGGTAAGAGCTTTTGCTGATCTTGCATATAGGTGGGCTCAATTGCCAGAACTTACATGGGAGATCACAATTATCCATTATTTCAAGTTCAGGGAATCGAAGACCATCTTCCGACTACTGTGAGGATCAGTCACACATGTGGTACATAACCATGTGTACAGGCCAAAGAATCATATTCATTAAAAAAAATTAAAATAAACACAACAAGCAGAAAGAATGTCAAACACCAGTAACCCAATGACTCAGAAGGCCCAGGCAGTATTAATGTCATGAATACTGCCATTCTGGGGAAGAGAATGATACCCTCTGCCAAATTTCAAAATTCAAGTTTTAAAAAAAAGCACAAATAAGAGAACATGCTTGACATGTACAAAAACCTACACTCTAGGCCCATCACCAAATACTTTATGTAAAACAAAGAATATAAGCTGGGCAGTGGTGGTACACGTCTTTAATTCCACACTCAGGAGGCAAAGCCAGGCGGGGAGTTCAAGGCTAGCCTGGTCTACAAGAGCTAGTCTCAGGACAGTCTCCAAAGTTACAGAGAAACCCTGTCTTAAAATCTCCCATCCCCTCCCCCCCCCCCAAAAAAAACAAGGAATATTGGCCAACTTTGAATCTCAGCATTTAGAGCAAGAGTCGGTTTGAGACCAGCCTGGTCTACAGAACAACTTTCATTAGAGCCAGGGATACTCAGACATACCTTGTCTTCAGAAACAAAAATAAAAACAACAACATTCGTAAAAAATCAGGTGATCTGAAGGCGGGTAACAGTCATATGGTTAGGGCAGACTGTGTGGCTGCTGGCAGTAAGCCCAGAATTTATCCCAACTGCTTGCACTGGCTTTGTGGAACCCATTCTCTTTGAAGGGATACCTTGTTCAGCCTAGATATAGTGGGGAGGGCCTCAAAACAATGTGCCTTACCCTCTCTGAGGAGTGGATGGAGGGGTAAGGGGGAGAAGGTGGAGGGAGCAGGAGAAGGGGAAGGAGTGGGAACTGGGATTAGCATATAAAATGAGAAAAGATTCTTTTTTAAAAAAATAAATAATATAAGGAAAGCAAAAGGGCTTACCACTGAATAGCAATTGCTTCAACTGTATCTAATGTGATGTAGTGATATCATACAGTAATGATACTGTGACAGCAAAAGGAAGCTAGCTGATTAGTCTGAACCCCACCACAGTAGAAACAAAGAACAGGAAATGGGTTGAGGATATAGACACTCAAATCCCATCACCATTGAAGAATTTCACTTAGAAAGGTTCTTCCTACTAAAGGTTCCACAAGCACCCCCAAAGAAGGTCATCAAGGAGAGACACATGTTCAAATACATTACCCTATCTGAGAGCTTTTCACTCAGTTGACTGGATTCAGACACAGGTCAATATAGGGTCAGGGTCATCCATAAAGAAAATGCATTTAGTCACTTCAATGATCCTCGTAATCTGCAACCACCTATGCACTGTGCAAATGTCCAGAGTCTCTTTTGACATTCAAGACATTCTCTTGACTGTAATCTTATAAAATCAGAAGGTAAGTTAAATGTTTCCAACATCCAATGGCACAGAATACCAACTCCTGTTCCAAAGGAAAGGAACTGAGACATCATGAGTGAAGATTGGGCGTGAGGAAAGACAGAAACCCAGAAGGACAACCATTAAATCCGGTAGTAGCTCTGTATCAGACATGTGGAACTTCAGTTTCAAAGGGCTTAGATGCCTCTATGATCACAACTATTCATACAACTCTCTTTGGTTACTTCCACTCCATATATATAGTTCTTCAAGTAAAATGTCTCATAGCTTAAATATCTCAACATCTTATGGGCTCAAAATACAGGCTTCATCCACACAGCATCATGCAATAAACTCTCACAGTCTCCTCACTGGAGCTCTGGCTCTACCAAACACAGATGCCTACTAAATAAACTACTGCTGAACTAAATCACCAGACTAAGAATGCATAGATTTAAAGTTTGCATCTTTCCTCTTTCTAGAACCAGAACAATATTAATGATTCTCCCAAATTCAGTTTCTAAGTTATGATGGACCCTGATAGGACTAGATTTGCAGCAGGCTTTGTAAGAGTTGCTTCCTGGGACTAGGAATTACTTTGCTAGACCTTCCATTGATTAAGAGCATAGAAGGATGGGTTCTCACCCTTAAGACACCTTGCCAGGCTTCCAATGTAGAGGACGAGCCTTCTATTTAATGGTGATAATCTCCCTGAAAATTCCTGCCTATACTTGGCACGTGACTGCCATCTGAATCCACCTAATTCTGTTTTTCTCTACAACCCAAAGACTTTTCGTTTATTTATGACCCACTTGTGCTTTTTTTAAAATATTGTAATCATGAATGACTCATCAGTAATAGTCACCCAGGAGAGTCAGTATTCCATCTAAAAAATCAGCCCATTATTTTCGAAGTTTGCCTTACTGAATTTTTGGGAGGCAAAGGAACAATAATAAAGGCTAGGGGCCAAAATATCACACAAATGACCTCTAGAGGTATTTATCATGGAGTCTATTTGCCACTGAAATTCTATGATCTGGACTTTCACTTACTGTCATTATGCTCAACACTTCCATCTTCCAGGTCCTTCAAGTGCAGGTGATTAAGCTATGTGTAGAGCTTTTTATGGGTTTTGCCATTCAAAGTCCCAATATATTCCATTTTTTGAAAAGATAACGTTCCTAGGTTCTGCCCAACAACAAAATCACTTTTGGTGTGCCAGTTTTGGTCTAACTTGTTTCTCTGTTGTTGTGATTAAATTCTCTAACCATAGCATCTCAGGTGATGAATGGGTTTATTTGCTTGATTCTGGCAGATCACAATCCATCATTGTAAGGGCTTAGGATAAAAATTCAAGATAACAACTGAAGGCAAAAACCACAAGGAATCTTTTTTCTGAAGAACATTTTTCTTTTATTGAAAATAGATTTTTCTTTTTCCTCTTCCCCTATTCATGAAGAATCTTTACTCCTAGCCTTCTCTCTTACTTGGTCATTGTTTTCTGCTCAGCTAGCTCTCTTATCCAGCCCAGACCAACTTTCTTAGGAATACTGCACTCTCAGTGGAAGGACTTTCACACATCAATTGTCAATCAACAAACTGATTCAAAGAAATAGCAACCAGCCATTCTGAAGGGTGTACATCTTCAATTGATGTTCCCACAGATAACTGTAGGCTCTCACATGTTAACAGCTGGAGGTAACAAGACAGAGACAATGATATATGAGAAGGTTTTAAAACCCCAAAACCAAGGTATCAACCACATCAATATCTTAAATAGTAAAATCAGAAACTTGATGATAGTAATGACTGGAAAAAACAGAAATGCCAAGAAAGGAGAGGGAACAAGCCTCTAAGATCAAGAAGAGTCAGCTAAAACTGTTTCTCCACAGAAAGTCTCCAAACCAACAATCACAAAGAACTCACAACATAATAAAGCAATATTTCAGAAAATAAAAATAGGTGAAGGTCCATCATTTTCCAGAGAAACAATATTATCAGATTATAGCCATCAAAAAGAAAATTTACAGAACATAGAAGGTAGCACTGATAAAAGGAAACACAAAGACAAACCTACAAATTTAACATGGTCCCTTAAACAAGAACTACTGAATTGTAACCAAAATCAAAGAAGTCACTGATGACCACTCACCCTGTGTGTTATAAGAGGTTGCTTGTTTGTTTCCTGGCTGACTGGCAGCTCAGACCCAAAATAATCACACAGAAACTATTATTTTAAAGCCTGCTTGGCCAATGACTCTAGCATATTTCTGGCTAACTCATCTTAAATCAACCCATCTCTATTAGTCTGTGTATTACCATTAAGCTGTGGCTTACCGAGTAAAGTTCTGTCATCTGCCTCTAGCAGGACTACATGGCTTCTCTCTAACTCTGCCTTCTTTCCTCCAGCATTCAGTTTAGTTGTCCCTGCATAGCTCTATTCTGCCCTGCTACAGGCCTACAAAGAAGTTTCTTTATTAACTGACGGTATTCACAGCATACAAAGGGGCATCCTACATCACCTCCCCTTTTCGGGTTTTTTTTTTTAAAAAAAAGAAAAGACATTTTACAACACATGTGCCCTAGAGTTCTCTCCTTTGCAAATAATAGAACATAGGATGGGTGAAGAGGTCTGGCGCACCAAAATTGGAAGGAATTCACTTGAAACCTTCTGACAATTCTGTACTGTAGAAAATAATTTTGAATACTAAAACTATCTCATTCTCTTTTGATAAAGAAAAAGATGTCTGTTAGGATTGTTTAAAAACCATTTTGTTTACTATGATTGATGATTGGATATAAGTCTACATCAGAGTGAAGAAATGAAAAATTTGAAACCAAATGCAAGGTAACAGATTCTTAAAGAACTATTGAATGATCTGTATTATATACCTAAAGCAACTTGTTAATTGCTTTATAAGTCATAAGCACTTTTGAAAAAAAGTCTAGCCCCATTGTTGTGTGTATGTTTATATGTGTGAGAGAGAATGATTTCCATGTATGTATAGGTGACACACCAAAGAGCCTGCCAGATCACCTGGATCTGAAATAACACATAGCTATGAACCTCCCAACTCGGGTGTGTAAGACTTTAAGACAATCCTGAAGCCATTTTTGACAATTCTGAATTCTCTCAGCCTCTGTGCCATAGTGCTTCCCCTCCTCCCCTGGGAACCAAGGACCTAACAGCTACACATGCATGTACTCAGTTCCTGAACAATTACCCATATGCGTATGTTTTGGTTCGGTCCCCTGGGAAACAGGGTCAAAATGACCTCTTACCTCATCTGATCTGGCAACAGCTCTCCAGTCAATTATTGGTAATAGCCCTTTCGAATAAGCCAATCAGAATAGTCAAAGAATAACCCCCCTTGCTTCTGTGGCCCCTTTAAAAGTAGACTGTACAAGCTATTCGAAGCCGAATGCTGGGGGACCCTGTCATGACAGAATTAATAAAATCCTCATGCTTTTGCATCGGCTGAGGTGTGTGAGGTGGTCTCTGGGGGTGACTCCTCCTAGGTGTTTGGACGCTAGAGTCCAACAGGTGTTGCTATCTAAACTCAGGTCAACCCCTAGAAAATTATTGTTGAGTGACATATGTAGCCCTCATAGTACTTTTTATCCAATAAACTAAAAGTCTTTCACAGATTAATAACAAAAACCTAAATAAAGATATTAAATAAATGACCCCTGGGACCCTGATGAATCAGTATTAAGATGTTGTACATGGAATTAGGGAGGCTGCCCACAGACCTTCTCCAGTCTCTGTTACCCAAGACCCAATATTCATGATGCCTCTAGGGCTACAACAGAACTACATCTACAGCTTCGCCTTCCCCAGTCCATATCTCCTGTAGATTCCAAGATTGTCCCTACCTGCCCTTCCCTTCTCAGCTCATATCTGTGTCCCATCATCCAATGGGGACAGACGCCCTCTACTCAACTCTCGCCACAGCTGCCAGAAGACCAGTTAGGTTGTCTGCAAATCTACCACATTATTCTTAACCCCAGTCCTGATTGGCACAGTTGCCCCCATCACTGGTGTACAACACCAGAGGCAGCTTCTCCTACATCCTCTTCATGTCTCCTGTGTATCTCTAAGATCATCTATCCCGAGCCCCCCTTTTCCCTAGTATTCAACATCAGCAAACATTCCCTCTTGAATACACCATCAAGAAGGCCAGGAAAAAAGAAAACACTGAGCCAATACCTGCTCCAGACATAAACAGAAACTTAGGAACAAAACTCCCATCCAACCAAGATCAAGTCAGACATCAGCACCTAGACCTATAATCACCCCAAACCCAGATGCTTAGCATAGGAATATAATCAATAAGAGCCAGAGCAATGTCACCACCAGAGCCCAGCTGTCCTACCATAGCAGGCCCTGAATACTTTAACACAGCTGAAATACAAGAAAAAGACCTTAAAACCAACTATATGGAGATGATAGAGTACCTTAAAAAGAAAATGAGTAAATTTCTCAAACAAATTCATGAAAACACAAAAATATTGGAGGAAATTAATAAAGCCCTTCAAGAAGGCTAGGAAAACACAAACAATTGGAGTAAGCCAATGCCTTAAATAAAGCCAAGAAAAAAATGAACAAATACTTGAAGGAAACAAAACTGTTTAAGACCTGAAAATGGAAACAGAAACAGTAAAGAAAACACAAGCTAAGGGAATCCTGGAAATAAAAAACTTAAGACTATGAAAGACCCCCAGTGCTGGGGAGACTCTCACTCAAGTCTCGGCATAGCACGACCCCCCAGTAACTCACGAGAGACCATCCTTGCTGCAATCACACGAGGCTTTAATCGATGAGATGAGATGAGATGAGATGAGATGAGATGAGATGAGACGAGAACCAGTACACTGGGGCCGAGACTCAAAACCCACTCAGGGGGACAGTTCGACCCCAAGTGACCGGGAAAAGCGATTTTTAAGGGAAGAAACCACAGCCCAGTGATCCGGAATTGGCAGGGAGTGTGTCACAGAAAATTTCGAAAATGCCAGTGAAGATCACAAGAGGGCAACTCCTTGCCTCTCAGGACCACTCCCAAGGTCATAATCAGCTAGTTCCTAAAACACAGCACAATGACAACCACAAGGGGGAAACCCCCTGCTTCTCAAGATTATTCTCAAGATCACAACCTAACTTAATCTTCAGCTAGTTCCTGAAACACAGTCACAAACCGGCTAATCCTAGACTTTTGATTCTTCTCTTCCTGCTTGGATTTTTGGCTATTTTCTTCCTGCTGGGGGTGGGGGTGGGGTGGAACCTGGATTTATCCAGGGCTTTCTTTGGGGATACCTGGAGTTATCCAGGTCTTTCAACTACAAACACAAAGTACAGAGGCAAAGTTCTCCAATAGAATAGAGAGATGGAAGAGAATCTCAGACACTGAAGATACAGTAGAAGAAATGGAAATGTTAAACAAAGAATATGTTAAATCCAAAGACTTCTTAATATAAAACATCCAGGAGATCTGGTACATTATGCAAAGACTAAACCTATGAATTACATAAATAGAGGAAAGAGAAGAAAACCAGCTCAAAAGTCGAGAAAATATTTTCAATAAAATCCTAGAAGGAAATTTTCCTAATTTAAAGACGATGTGAATGACGGTACAAAGAAGCATGCGAAACACTAGAAGACAGATGTTTCAGAAAACAAAGTCCTTTTGCCACACAATAACCACAATAGTAAACATACAGAACAGAGACATTAAAAGCTGAAAAGGAAAAACATCAAGTAACACATAGAGACAGACCGATAAGAATTACACCTGACTTCTTAATGGAGATTCTAAAAGCCATATAAGGTCTACGAAACATGTAATACAGGCAGAAAGAAACCTCAGGTGTAGTCCAGATTACTATAGCCAGAATATTTTCAATCTCCATAAATGGAGAAAATAAGATATTCCATGATAAAGTGAAATTTAAACAATATCTATGACCGACTTGAGTTCTACAGAAGGTACTAGAAGGAAAAATCCACCCCAAGAAAGCAAACGACACATATGAATACACAGAAAACAAATGATCTCAAATA